TGTAAGGAACCCAACGCACCTCTTAGAGCTGCCACTATCGTCATGGGAATTCCCATATCCTTCCCAATCTGTCACTTGGAGCAGTCGTGGCATTGGCACATGAATTCCAAACCTCCACCTGCTGTGTTCAGAGCAAAGCGCGACGGGAACGCGGCCTCTTGACTCGAGTGTTCCTTTTTCAAATGTGAATCTTTACTTCTTTTAAGTCTATTAAAAATATTTAAACTGGGGTTTTTTTGGGGGGGGCTTTTATTTTTGTTCTTCTTCAACAAGTCGTAGCTTTGGGGAACGGGGGGGAAGGGCCGTGGGGGCTGAGGACAAGTGACATTGGCAACAAAGGACATTCCCGTCACCCTTTATTCTGAACACGCTCTGAACACTTCATGACTCTACTTCTTAGCTTGGTCAGACTGTTTGTCCTTTATTTCCCCCCTTTTTTTCTAAGCCCCACTCCCCTCTTTTACTTGAAAGATTTTATTGTGTAAAAAAGACGTTTCACAGGTCAATAAATTTCGAGGGAAATGAGCATTGGTCCAAAAAAAAAAAAAAACCCACAAAAAAAAAGGAAAATAAATCAAGATTTTAGGGCTTTTATTTTTTTCTTTTGTAATTGTGTAAAAAAATTTTAAAAAATTAAAAAGCAGAATTTTAATGTGAAACCTTTTTTTGCTATAATCATTAGTCTTAGAGGCATTGTTAGCGTAGTGTGTGTGCGAAGCCCATCTCCTGCAGCCTTTCCTCAACAAGTATCTTCTATTTTTATCATGAATTCCCTTTTAATCAACTGTAGGTTATTTAAAATAAATTCCTACAACTGAACTGCCGCCGGTGTCCGGGTGCTCTGTGCCACGAGCCCCTGGGGCTCTGCTGCCCCCCAGCACTGCCTCCGCGCTGCAGGGAGGAGGGGTGGGATTGACCCGCTTGAGGCTTCATCAGGTTGAGCTGGGACATGGGGGTTCACAGTGATGCCGAACAGCAGCAGTGCCTGGCTTCTGGGAGGGAAAACGCTTCTACAGCTGCTGATCACAGAACCACAGACTGGTTTGGGGTGGAAGGGAGCTTAAAGCTCCTCCAGCTCCAACCCTCTGCGACGGACAGGGACACCTTCCACTAGAGCAGGTTGCTCCAAGCCCCTGTGTCCAACCTGGCCTTGAACACTGCCAGGGATGGGGCAGCCACAGCTTCTCTGGGCAGTGTTGCCCATGTTGCCTTCATGGTTGGTAACTGTGGTTGCTGGGTCCTGGTGGCTCTGGGCTCTGTGGTCACGCAGACAGACCCTCGGAGGGGGCAGAAGCTGGTCCTGTAGCACACGAGGGGTGTTTGGAGCCCTGGCAGGGCACAGGGAGCTGAGCGGGTGTCCCACCAGCCCGTGGTCCTGCTGCTGCTCCTGAGCTCACGGTAACGTGGGGCTCGATGCTCCCAGATCCCTCCTGCTGCTCTGGGTTGGTTTGTGCAGCCCCAGGGGAAACGTGGTTGAATAATGCACTTCAATACCAGCTCCAGGC